ATTTTAAAACTTTAAATGTTTATATCTAATAAACTAATAAAGTTATATTAGAAATTCAAATGCCATTTACTATTAAATTAAATAAATATAATAAAAATTGATCACTTGTGGCCAGCCAATTAAGTAAAATCAAAACTATATTAAAAATATTATTAATTTAAAAAAACTAAAAAATATTAAAAATATTAAACTCAAAAGCCATTATTTTAGAAAAATATATATTTTTTTAAATTTATAGTCAGTACTTATTATATATTAATGGATTTAGGACTTAATAATGTGTAATTGTAATTATAATTATCCAGTATAAAGTTTGGAGGTAATTAGAGGTTTTTTCCCACCTAAAACGATTAAAATTTTTACGTTTCTCTATAACACTATAACAGAGTTTCACAAACTCTGGATCTCCAAAATAGCAAAATTTATAAATGCATATAAATTTTGACTCTACTCATTACTCTGTAAGAATAAATTTAGGCTTGATTACAACGAATGAATTTTAGCTTCAGTACTAGTTTTTCTTAAGTATGCACTATTCTCCGAATTTTTCCTAATCGCTCCAAATCATAACCAAACTCTTTACGAGGGATAATAATTTTTAGAAATATAGTTATAATTAAATTTTAAAACTTGATTTAAATTTTTCTATTGTAAAATGTTTGATCTTTATTATAAATAAAGATATGTTGAATATTTAAGTAAAGCCTGCGATCTTGTGATAAATTTATGAACTGAGCGCAATACAATGTAAATTTAGTAGGAGCTTAGAAGAGTAGAGTACTCATTATACTTGGCATGATAATGGCTTTTATTATCAAATATTATTATCAAATCACGTGGTTTTAGAATTAACAGATCTGTCACAAAAATTGTTTTGGGGATTTCAAATTAAACATTTACTAAAATGAGAATTTGTTGATTTTTTTTGTTTAACATATTTTTTAGTTGACTGATGAAGTATCACTTTAAAGTTAACTATCTATTAACATATACAACGATTATAAAATGTATTGTGACGAGTTTGGTGACGGTTTAGACAATAATTATGTTGTAAATCCTGTCAAAGATCCAGTTAATTCAAAAATATTTGGAGTGAACAGAAGAAATCAATTTTCAAGAAAAGTATACTTTTTGTTATGAATAATTATGTAAAACGTATTTCTAAAAAAAAATAAAATTTTTTAGGAGAAGAGTGATGCTAGAGTTAATATTAATGGTAAATATAATAATGGATTTCAAAAGAAAATACCAGCTGATAAAAAAAAGGGCTATGTTACACCTATGTTTAGAAACAATCCAGAAATTTCTATATCAATAGTTCAAAAAACAACAATCAATAAAAATAAAAGCTCACTATTTTCTAGCACAACATATAAAGACTTAGTTGATTTGCATCCACATATGGTGAGTAAAAATACTAAACTATGTATATTTTAGTAATAAATTAAAATTAAAATTTATCAAAGAATTATTTAATTTAATTATATTTTCCCAATGTATAAAAAACATTGAGTGCTAAACCATCATATTATATTCATAGTGAAATGTATTACATTATGTTATAACAAGACTTTACTTAGCTATGGCTTGACTCTAGACGAGGGAGACCTATAGATTTATGTTTCATCTTTACAGTAGCATAGTGATTCCGAGTGGAGAATTCTGCTACCCCAAGTATAGTATGTGTTCAAAGGCAACAAATAAAGTAAAAATAATTATTTTGAACACTTGCATGAGTATCTCTAATAACTGAAAATAAATTGCAAATGTGCAGACATAATAAAATAATCAAATAAAAAAAATGTGTATGGATGTTTAGGCAATCTGGTAAAAGTTTTAAATCTTAAATGAATAAAAACCAGCGGCATGCTTGAGCATTTTTCTCTATCAGTGTCAAATTTTTTTAAATATTAACCGAATGAAAATATTAAAAAAAATCTTCTGATCTTTATAAATAATTTTTCTGTCTAATGTGATTGAATTTTTTCTAAAAAAAATATAAAATAGTAATGAAAATTATTTTCAGGTAGCAAATTTAGAGCAGACATTAGGAGTAACTAAGTTGACAACTGTTCAAAATTTGTCTATTCCAGTTTTATTAGATGGTAAAGATGCTATGGTTCAATCTGAAACTGGAAGTGGAAAGACATTTGCTTATGCAGTTCCATTAATAGAATCATTACATAAAATTCGGCCAAAACTCAGTAGAATGGATGGTCTTAGAGCTTTAATTATTTTACCAACAAGAGAATTAGCATTACAAACTTATGAAAATTTTATTAAGTTACTTAAAGTATGTGTTTTATTAAAATCTTAAATTATATTGTGTTTATTACAATTATAACTTAATTGATATTATATATTTTCAGCCTTATACGTGGTTAGTGCCTGGTATGTTTACTGGTGGAGAAAAAAGAAAATCAGAAAAAGCACGAATGAGAAAAGGTATTACTATATTAATTGGCACCCCAGGAAGATTATTAGACCATGCTAAGAATACCAAGTCAATATCATTTAAACAACTTCAATGGTTAATAATTGATGAGGCTGATAGAATGCTTGATCTTGGTTATGAGAAAGATATAACAAGGTTAATAATAAATATTAGTTAATACTATTAAAGAAAAATTTGTTCTAAAAAATTATAGTTTATAATACTAAAAATAATTATAAACATTTTTAAATATTGTGCTTAAAATAAAATAAAATAAAAAATGTTAATAAATGATTTTATTTTTAATTATCTTGAACATAAATTTTTAAAATAAATTTTGTTTGTAATTTATTTTTTAGTATTCTTCAAGTAATTGATGAACAACGAGACGAGTCTATTACTCGACAAACAGTTTTACTTTCAGCAACCCTATCAGAAGGAGTACAAAAACTTGCAGGATTATCATTGAAAAACCCAGAATATATAGATGCATCATCAATTGGTGACACAGATCCTGAATGTTTAGCAATTCCTGATAGTCTTTTACAATATTATGTTATTGCACCTCCAAAATTAAGATTAGTGACTCTATCTGGTGTACTTTTACAAAATCTACAGGTNGCACCTCCAAAATTAAGATTAGTGACTCTATCTGGTGTACTTTTACAAAATCTACAGGTATTTTTTTATTATTTAATGAACAAATTAAATACAATTTTATATAGAAATTAATTTTTTTTTATATTAAACATTAATAATTATGAAAATATTAAATTATAATTAGAAAGGACAATCATTGAGTAAAACATTAGTCTTTATGGCAACTCAAGATATGGTTGATTATTACACTGATTTATTAACTACAGTACTTACATGTTTGGCTATGTTTAAACTTCATGGTAATATGACTCAAGTTGAACGAATGGAAGTGTTCAAATCATTCAAAGCAGCCGATCATGGAGTTTTATTCTGCACAGTTAGTATTTTCATTTAATAAATATTTCTTTATTTTGATTTTTATAAATGGCAGTTATTTCCTTTCCCAAATTTATTTATCTTAAAGAAATATTTAAATAAATCAGTTGATAATTCCTTACAAACTCATTAATTAAATAATAAAACATTTTATAATTCTAAATGTTGTGTTTCAATAACATTATTTAAAAACAAAAAAATTTTCCAAATGTTTAAAATTACTATATAAATAAATGTATTCAAGTAATTTTGTTACAAAATTTAATACAATGAAAATTATTTCAAATTTCAAACCGTGGATCATTTAACAAAAATATTAATTTATGAATCTAATTAATATATATTATTTATTAGGATGTAGCATCCAGAGGTTTAGATTTGCCTTTAGTTGATCGAATAATCCAGTACAATGCACCTATAACACCAACTGATTATGTTCATAGAGTTGGCAGAACTGCTAGAGTTGGTCAAAAAGGGGAAGCAACACTGTTTTTGACTCCTCATGAAGCTATGTTTATATCCAAACTTCAAGATCATTCCATTATGTAAGGTTTTAAAGTAAATAATATTCTACACTAAAATTTATTTAAATTTATGAATGTTGAAACCTTTAAATGTGTCTTGTATAAAAAACAATAATTTATTTTTATCATAAAAAATTATCTCTAAAACTTTTTCAAAAAAAGTATTATTATAAACTATATTCATGGTTCAGAATTTTATGTTAATGTATATTTACTAAGAAAGTGTACATTATTTATTTTAGATAGACACAAAATTTCTTTCAGAATGTCTTGTAAATAAAAGTGTTACTTATTTCTATACTTTCTCGTTTTTTGTCAAATAATATGTATTTATTTTTGTTTATTTGGCTAAAACAATAAGTTACATAGAAAATAATTTTTTCTAATTTCCCTCAAAATATTCTATGTGGATATATTTTTTCTCTTTTATTTGTAATAAAACTTTATTATTATTATTACAACTGTTAAAATTAATCTTCTACCTTTTATTAAAGTTATATTTCATTGAAAAATTATACTCCTTGTTTCCTAGAATTATAATCTTCTATTAAATAATATTATTATACAATTTTATTTGCTTACAATATTTATGTTTTTTACTTTTGAATAACACTCTTTAACCTTTTATATAATTTTTTTTATAATTGTAATACTTTTTGCATTTAAATTTAATTTTTAGTGTAAATTTTAACACACGCTTGATCGTTTTGGTTTATTTTTAAATGCAATTGTTGGTATTCTGAAGCACATGTATTTCTACAATTTTTTTTATTAAAACAATAAAAAAAAATGTATTTTTATTTACTAAAAATTATAGATAGTTAATTATTATTAATAATTATACTATAATTAATAGAATTATTAAGAAATATCAATGAATAATGTTTTACCTTATAGATACATACTATAAGGTTAAAAACTTTTCATTTTTACTAACTATATAGTTTATTTAACTTTACAATTGGAATATATTTAATTCATTTAACTTAATAATATCAATAAATTTTAGCAAAAAAATCATATTATTCATTACTTTTTAAGTTAAATAGTATATAGAAATGTTATCTTTATAAATTAAAAAAAACCTATATTCTATATTTTTTTTTTTTTTTAGTGGCTAAACTCAAAAACATTTTTTTTTTTTTAGGATTTCCGAATTGAAAATGGATAAATGTCTACAATCAATTTTATCAATGGAATTCGAAGGAGTAAGAATTTTATATATTAATTTTACTTAAGTTTTTGATTGTCAGATACTATTTTCTAATATTCACAAAGGCATTAAAAATAATGGTGCCACTGAATCTTAATAATCATTTAATAACTGATATGGGCACCATCTAAATGGTACTCATATCCATATGTGATGAAATAAAGAACTCTTTGATTTGTAAAACTCTTCATATTGCATTATTGTTTTATGTCACTTAGATTTAGTCTAACAATAATTACTAAAATAATTAACTTTCACTTTATTGACTAGGTTGGATGGTTTATGACCTAAAATTGGGGTTTGCTATTGTTGGCCTTAAAAGTGTCCTTTTAGATGCTTTTGTAGTTGTTGTCAATCCTTGACCACTGGATGTTATACTAGGCACTTTTACGTAAGGTTTGTTGGTTGTTGATGACCACTGGCTGTTATCCTGCTACTTTTTCTGATTGCTAGTGATTATTTGATTATCTAACTTCCAATATTTATTTATAAACAATTAAATATGACAAAAAATAGTGAAATAATAAATGGTTATTTTATTGGTCATATTGACTAGTAATTTCTCCGGTTCATTCTTCTATTTGTTTAGAGTTTGTTAATTTTCGGGAGGAGTTATTATTATTTTTTTGTTATGGTTGAAGTGTTTTTGTTTATTTCTTGTGTTTCCTTATTCATCAATGTCTTTGTTGTCATATTTAACAATATGTTGTAATATTTCATGATCACATAGCTGGCCTATATGTCTTGGACGCTTACATGACATGTTTTACATATTCCCTACCCATGTTTGTTGAATTATCTTGCTATGGTTAGGGTGAATATAGATATATTTATAGATACCAACTTGTGATTCTACTTTAATCTATGAAGCTATTTTGTTTGTTTTATCATTTCACAGCTTCTGATTGATTAAGACATCTTTTGTATTTTTCTATGACTGGGTGGCACTGATAAGGGTCTTTTTTAGGTAGTCACAAAGTGGAGGTGCTTATTTGCTTCATTACATAACTTTGATTAATATAATGTCATTCTGTAGGAATATGTAAAAACAGCTGAAATGGCAGCAAATATTTTGCAGTCTCGTTTTGAAACTGCTGTACTTGAACAAGATAGACTTCATGAATTGGGCTGTAAAGGTAATCAATATTGGTACTGACATAATAACAACAAATATTATTTTTTTAAATTTTTAGCTTTCAAATCTTGGGTTAGATCATATGCAAGTTACCCAAAAAGCAGTCGTGAAGTTTTTAATTTCAAAGATTGTCATCTTGGGCATTATGCTAAAAGTTTTGCCATACGTGATGCACCTAGAATAATTGGAGGAATTGGTAAACCCAAAAAAGATCCAAGAATGAAGTAAGTAAATTTTAGTTAGAAGGAGGTTTTTGAATTATTTTTAGTAAATTTTCTTCTCCAGACATTTGAATAGATTTTTTAAGTATATTTGAAAAACTTTTAAAAGTAGAAGTTGGTTAAGTCAAAAGTAGTAATGTTTTGTGCCAACAAAACCAAAGTATTTTGATCTAGTAGTTAAGAAATATTTTCATACTTAAATCACAATAAAATTATCACTTAACCAATAATTGAACTAACTTTGATACTGTTAAACTCAGTATAAAATCTCCAATATAATTGATAAATAATCTAAAAAAAAATTAAATTGATCACCTTATTACAACATTTTTTTAAAATTAAAGTACACCTATCAAAATTCTTATAGTTGCATAGTATCTTGATACAATATCAAGATATTGTATAAATATATTATATTAATATATATTATACAAGCAATTTATGTATTATCTCAGCCCTAAAAAGAAAAGTTTTGTGGTAATTATTTTATATATTTTCTAACCGCCATAAGGTACCTTTCAATGCTGTTTGTCTTAGACCCCATTAAACTTAATGTGAGCGCTGAATATTATTTAAGTTATTTGCCACTTTAAAATTACTACACTTACAAGTGTATGTGTGCGTGAGTATAAAAAATTAATTTATGGTATATTTCATAACAGAAATATATTTTTATGCTTCAATTAGTCATTGTCTCCTTATTTTGTATATAAAATATATAGATAATTACAATATTTGTGATTTTCTCACGTAATTATGATACACCAGAAAAATTTCTTTCTCAAAAAACATTGTCACAGACAAAAAATGATTCGTCAAGTTAGCACAAAAAGTGTATCACTTAACTATACACTTGTGTATAATTTAAATAAATATAAAAACACACCCTTATAAGGGTGTTACGTTGTAATTTTTCTGTTCTTAAAAATTTATCATACTATTTAACATCAAATTAATTTAATTAAGTGGGTTTTTTATTCAATTTCACTTTATTTTCACAATAGTTCTTTTTTTGTTTACAACTAGTAAAGGCATTTTATTAGTGATAAGGTCTGTTGGAGTGGAAAATTGTTATTTAAAATAGAACTATAAAGTTGTTTTTTTAACGATTCTTATTTTATTTTATGGGTAATTGGTCCTATAGTATACGATTGTTAGTGCAACGTTAAGTGAAACTATTTTTGGCCTTAAAACGATCTATTATAGATTACCGTTTGTTGTTATGTCACATTATGTTCAAGGTGATAAAACTACTTAAATATTTGCAATGTATAAATTAATAATATTAAGGGAAAATGATAAATGATAAGTGATCAGACCTTGAGAAACAAACTGTCAAAAATAAGTCTATAGATAAATAAAATTAAATGTAAAATTCTTTAATATTCCAATAATTGACTGAAATAATATTTTTATTTAAAATTTAAACTTTTATCTTTTTTTAGCCGTAGTGGTTCCGCAAATACATATACAAAGTGGTTTACATTATGTTTTGGTAAATCTACTAACTTTTGATCAATTGAATAATTTTCGTATTTTTTTTTTTTTAATTTTTATCATATTTAAAAATAAAGATAGTCATTTTTTTAAATAGATCATAAAATTAAGTTTGGTAAAAAAATATTTTATAATATTTAGTAGTATTTTAAATCACAGACGCTCATTCAAATGATATTCAGTAGATCAAAAATTATTAGCAGATCTTGAGATTTCATGAATTTATAAATATTATTTTAGTTATCCTGAGTACACCCAGAGAAAAACCTCGATCTATATAATAAATTCATTGTTCAATTTGATAAATATATCATTACTATTGAATCTATGATATATTTATTAATATGATAATTTTTTTTCTTGTGTTGAACAATAATTATTTATAAGAATAATTATTTTGTTCGTATTAATAAAACATTATCATAAACCCTGGATAAAATTTCTCTATCAAAATTGATTGAGGTTTTTCTTTGGGTGTACATCAATATTTAATGTATTAATAAAAAATCTAGTTGCGGGCGATATAGGTAGATCTTATTGGTTTTGGACTAGTATTTCGGAAGTTTATTATCTAAAGTAATGGCCAAAGGTGGAGGGGTGTGACTTTTATCAATAGACATTTCTTGGTCGTACTCCTTCCACTTAGGTATGAAAGATTCTTAATTCTAAATATGCTTGTTGATATTTCGATATAAAAGATAATATTAACCAAATTGTAAAACCATCTTGTATATGAATAAAATAATTGTGTTATTAGATATTTCTCGGCATCACGCTCCTCTCTCCTAATTATAAAAATATTAATGACTTGTAAAATATTGGTCTAAAAGTTGTTATCAGCCAGTAATTTTCTTAATTAGATAATTTGATAAGCTAGTTAAATATGTATGTTGTCATTTAAAAATATAAAATTGACACCCTTATAAGTGATAAATTAAAAAAATTATTTTCTTAACATAATTATTATTTTAAGAGAAATCAAGTGGTTAATAGAACCATCTTGCATAATTATCATGTTTATTATTGGATATTTTTATGAAGGATCTTAGATTAAAATCTGTAAAAAATATTTTGATACTCAAGGTAGATATAACTACTTCAATGATACTAGAGTTTGTCGTTAAATGGCCGACAGTTTTTTTTTGTGTGTGTTTTCAAAATGTTAAGATAATCGATTTGAAACACAAAAGACGATAGCAAAAGTGTGAAAATGAGACGATTTACCTAAAAACCATCTACTTTCCATTGTGTAAATGATAGCGGCACTATTACTGTGTTCAGTTTACTGAAAAATTACATCTAATTTTGGTTTTCTGACAATTTAGTGTTATGTTGAAATAAAGAAAATATTTTCTTTGTTTAGGAATCGCCCCGTAAATTCTATGTATAAATAAACGACCACTAAGATAATTTTTTATTATTGTGCTTTGTATCTCTTTATCCCTTTTTGTCGCTAACCCAGTTACACTAGCAAAGACATAAGATTATCTTGTTTCTAATTATACATTAAATTAATTATTAATCTTTTATCCTACGTTATCGTCTTTGGCTTTACATGTAAAGAGGTAAGAAATTTATGTCTCTAAACATAAGAAAAATCTTATGTATCATTAATTATATATTTTTACGGTATGGGAAATATTAAATGGAGCTCTTACAAAAAATGAACGCAATATGCAATAAATATTGTATTTGTTTAATAAATAATTTAAAAAAATAATAATAATAAGCATTTTAACCCTTTAGAGCCCTGGTTTACTATTGTGAACTCACTTTTCTTTTTTTAACAACTGTAGTTTTTAACTTAATTTCATTAAGTTTTACGTTCTCAATTTCTACTCTAATGTCTATTATTTCCGTTAATGTTGAATGAGTAATTTAAAATAGATAGTCTTTATTAAAAACATATTATTATGAACACTGTTTTTAACTGATATATTTTTATATTTCTTAAAACTTCATTAATTTTTTATTAATATTTTTATCACTCATAATTATTAATTTACCTATAGATTATCAAAAATCTTCTCCGCTTTCAGAGGTTGGGTAGCTACCAGTTAGGCATTCCAGTGCTTTAAGTACAGTTGTAGTATTTTCTGCAAATTTGATTATACACTAAAAAATGAAACGTTTATAATACTAGTTCTATTTTTATCTTTTTTTTTTTTTATCGAATTATCCATGTTTAATCTAATAAGTACATAATATAGGTACGCATAGTTATTAATAATATTACTTTTCATTGTTGTTTTGTTAACAATTTTTAATTTTCCGGCTATAATGGGAGATGAAATAATTTTTGAACAGAATTAATAAATAGCTACTATTTTCTTGTTGGCTGCTGCTGCGTATACGAGATCCAATTGTTATTTATTTTGTTATTGGTTCTACGGTTTGGGCAACAATATAGTGAAGCGATGCGTACTTGAAAAGAGTTTTAGTTACAGGTCAATTGCTATTGTCTGAGCGGTTCAGCTGGAAAATCGAGCTTGGACAAACCGAGGGGAAGGGTAAACAACAATAAGATATCCAATTATTTGGCCCGGACCAATTACCGATTGGATGTGCGCCTTGAATTTCCCAATTATGTAACCACGTGTGCGCCTTACAATTTTCAAGGTCGATTGGTTAACATTTTTAAAGCCATTTTTTTTAACGTATTCGACTAAAGTCGTGGGAATTCCCAAGTATTTAGTATTAATGATAAATATAATGAGCTTTAAAGTAATATTTCATGGCTAATTTTCAAGTTTAGTACCATTAATTATCAATAAATATTTTATGTATCTAATTATTTTCTTTTTTTAGTAATATACTGCTGTCTAGTTGTTGAATTTAAATCAACGCTTAGAATAGAAAACAAAAAAAAAAAATACTCAACAATCTTAGAATAACACATTTTAGGTTAAATTTTAAACTTTTAAGATATATGATTTTTATGAGAAACATTAAGAGAGGTGCTCAAATGCTTTCACATGTATTATTTCTATATATGTCACTAAATTCATGACATTCTATGGAATTTATTTGGTTCAGTGTTAGGCGCATAAGAAATTATTAATGATGCCTCTCATGTACCAAGTGTTCCTGAAATTTACTATGGCAACCGTTTACCTAATAGATGAAGTTTGTGTGATTCACTGATTTCTTCACGTTATTTTTCAGGCACAAAATTCGTTTCGGCAAGCCGCCGGGGTCGACGCTATTTAAAAACTTATTAATTTTTTGACGCATACTGATTATAATCGAATAACAATCTTATTGTTTAAGATAAGTAAAAATAATAATAATAACACAAAAAGGATGTATAAGAAGGTTTTTAAATTCTGGTAGCTGCAGGGGTTCTCATAGCCTGCCCCCCATCGGTCTTGTGTTTATCGGTCGCAGCTCCCGTCTGACAAAATCCTTTCATCATTATCGCCGCATCACACCCTTTTGTTTGACACATATGCTTGTTCGCCTCACTATTGTAGTAAAACTTGATACATATTATACATCGGCGCAGATAGACACGTTATTAACTGCTGC